CAGCCTGTGGAAAGGCAGAAAGGCAGGAACGTTAAGTACAGGCAGAGGCAGGCTGGAACCAACTCAAAACAACTCTCGAGACCATTATTAAATTTTCATCGTGAGCAATCACACCTTGGAAATTGGCAAACCTACAGATAGGGGCTTGATGAATTTTCTTGTTGATTGTCCAGATTTCAAAAAAGTAATGGAAAAAATTTAATAATCCAGATTAAACTTTAAAGATTGTTCTGTGTACTTTTTTTTTTTTTGGAGAGCCAGTTGTTAAACATTTACCAGCACACCTTTGTGTACAGGAACCATTTAGAAGGTCAGTTTGGTTGGAACATCGAATGCCTAGGAAGTAATATGTGATAATCCTGCAAAGGCAAACTGGAGTCAGATTGGGAAATGCCAGGCTGAGTTTATAACCTAGAGGCAGTAGGGAACCGTTGTAACTTCTTGAGCAGGGAAGCAACAGTTTGTCCTGTGCTTTTTGGAATGTCAATGTGGCAGCTGTGTGGAAGATGGATTGGAAAGGGAAGAAAATAGAGGCAGGAAAAGCAAGATGAGCACAGTGCCTGGCATGTTGTAGGCACTTAACAAATGTTTATGTAGGCTATGCAATAGTCCAAGCAAAAAGTGGTGACGCTCTACTTTGTTTCATCATCAAAACTATCACTGGTCCCTCATTGCCCACAGGGTGAAATTCAGATTCCTCAGACTAACAGTCAAGGTCCTCCATTGTTTCACTCTAACCTTACCTTCCTTTCTTAGCTCTCACTGCCCCCCAGATATGCACCTGCTGTATCAGCTAAGCTGGTCTGCATTACTGTTCCCCAGATGTGCCATGGAGCCACCCAATTCCACACCTTGGTTCACACCCCTCCTATTGACCGAAATGCAGGTCCTCCCCCTTGAATTCATTCAACAAATATCATTATTAAGCACCTACTGTGTGCTGGGTACTGTGGGAGGTACTGGGGATACAGACAAAACCAGAACAGCCCTGCCCTTAAGGAGCTCACACTCCATTGAGGAAATACAATACAGGACACCCAGTCAAGTCAACACCTGAACAAAGTAAGACAAATGAACTTGCAGATGGGGAAGAGCACCAATGACTATGAAGATGGGGATGAGAAATCTTACCCTCCTTGTTCTGCTCTCTCCCACTACCACGCATTTAAACAAGTTGCCACAAGACCCAAAAATGCCTCCCCAGGTATCTCCCCTTGTCCAAATCCCTGCCATCATTGTTCTAGACCCAGCAGAGGAGGTACCTCTTCTAGAATGTCTTCCTCACTCCCTCCCAACTCCCTGCCCCGTTCTGCCCCTCCTATTCTCTCTCATATTTTCCTAGAGCACTTTGGTCCTTTCTTTGGCTCCCAAAATGCTCTAATTTATATTATGCTTATCTGTGTACATGTCATATTCCCTGAGTAGAATGCAAGTTTCTCCAGGGCAGGGAGTATGTCATTTTTTTTTCCATCTTTGTAGAAAGCTGTAGTTGTGCTTCCAAAGAAACCAGGGCTTCTAAGAGATAAAGGTAAAGAGTAAGTGCGTGCCAGGCAAGGGGACCACTTATGCAAAAGCATGAAGGTGAGAAATAGGAATGTATAGGGAAAGCTAGAAGGATGACTTCTCTCCAAATCTTATTAATCTTTGTGGTCCAGCTTTCCCCTGCCCTCCTATAGCATTTATTGTCCAAACTTCTCAGAATCACAGAATGTAAGAACTAGAACGGATCTTAGGGATTATCTAATACAACCCTCTTATTTTACAGAGCAGGAAACTGAGGCCTAGGGAATCCAGCCCTCTGCCCTACCACATAGCTTCATTCAGCATATATTTATCATTACTTATTTTTCCATAGGTCATGTTTCTATATCCAAAGTCAGATTGTAATTCCATGAGGGCACAGATAATATCAACCTCCCCTAGATGAGCAAATGCCGCTTTCCTGAGCAGGGCAGAGACAATGCCTGCCCTTCTAGGCATGGTCATTCCAGAAGCCAGTCAGTGGTGTGTTGCCTACAGGCTAAACTGTACCCTTGGGATTTGAGCCAGGATGCAGCCTGGATCAGACTAGGAAAAGCAGGGAAAATTGATTTGGTTCCAGAACTGATTAGGGATGGGGAGGGTTTGAAGGAGGAGATGGAGAGGAAAGAGTACATGATAAAGCAGTTGGAAAAGCTGTGGAAGAGATGGCCAGAGATTCAAGAGTGAAGTCAAGTGTGGTGGCTAAGACTTTCTTTAAATAGTAGTCTGGGAGAGGCAGTCACCAATCAGGACAATGAGCCCCAGGACAAAAGTTCCTCCAGGGAAGCAAGATGGTTGGTAATAGAGTCGTTGGAGTTTATTTCATAGAGTGGTGACTATCCCAACTGTACTTTAGAAAAAAATCCCTGGCATGGGTAAATTGAAATTGGAGATACGTGAGGTAGGGAAATAAATAGATGGCTATTGAGATAGTCCAGGTGAGAAGAGATAAGGGCCTGAAGCAGGCTTGTAGTTGTGTGAGAAGAGAGAAGAGGATGTGGGCAAGAGATGGAGAGAAAGAGATTACAAGTCCTAACAACGGATTGAATATGGGAGGGGGAGATGAGAGGGAGAGGAGGAGAAGAAGGAGGAGGAAGAGGAGGAAGAGGAGGAGAGAGAGAGAGAGAAATCTAGAAGAGTTGGGGGTTTGAGGGGAAAGGTAATTTGGACATGTTGAGTTTGAGGTGCCTGTGGGACATCCTGTACCACAGGTACTTAGTTAGATGGAACTAGAACTCAGAAGAGAGACTATAGCTGGATAAATGTATCTTGGAATCATCTGCATAATAATGCACAGGGATGGGGTGCTGGGGTCTGCCCCACCCACCCAAAATAATGTAATCAGAAAGTTCTGATATAGAGATTGAATCAATCAATCAATCAAAAGTAAACTAGATGTAAGTGTGAATAAATCCTTAGTCATTTTGAAAGAATCCTGAGGTTTAGGGTGATTGGATTAAAACAGGTGCCACCACACAGGAAATATCTTGTGACTCTGGGCAGGAGTGAGGAACCTCTGCGTGAAGGCCACATGTGGCTTTCTAGGTCCTTGGGCAGGCAGCCTTTTGACTGAGTCCAAGTTTTGCAGAACAAATCCTTTTATTAAGGACATTTGTTCTGTGAAGTTTGGATTCAGTCAAAGGGCCGCACTTGAGGACCTAGAGGGAGGCCACAGGTTCCCCACCTCTGCTCTGGGCCATCTCCAGTTGTTCTGATCTATATCTGGCCATTGGACCCAGGTGGCTCTGGAGGAGAAAGTAAAGCTGATGACTTTGCACAGCCCTCTCTCACTCAAATCCAATTCACCTGCAAGTCATGGCATCATCTTCCTGATGTCATGGTCCTCTTTGAGAACAAAGGACAAACCACAAGCACAATCTCGTGACTAACTGAAAGAATTAAACACATCTTTGGGTCTACGTATAACATGATAAGTCAATTCGGAAGCAAATATCCCAGCATCAGTCGGCTGAGTAATAGCTAAGTGTCTAGGTGAAGGACCCTGAGGGAATTCCCAAGGGGGAGGGGAGAGAACATTTTCTATCTTTCTCTCCCTTGTCCTCCTCTCCCCATCTACGAGATAATAACATTTTGAATTTCAGAATGTCAGAAGCTCTGTAGTTCCCATCAGCATTGTTAGCATTATCCACCAGTGCTGCTAGCAGTGTCTTTGGAACAGTAGTGACAGCAGCAGCATGAATGGACTGCCAGTTGAGAGATAAACTTCGGACAAACGACGCACTGAACAAAGTCAGCTTCAGGACTTGGTCCTGACTTTCAGAGTCGAGCGGAACAACCCCTAAGGTGAACTTCATAAGGATTCTGTGAAAGGAGAGCTCTGAGTTCACCCTTTGGTCACATGTGCTCTCTGTATTTGAGCCTACCCATCCCCTACCCCCCCATACTGTGGATGGGAGAGGAGAATGCATCCACAGCTTGGAGGATGTTTCCGTAACAACTGACTTTGCTATACTGATCCTGGGCCACTGCCAGTGTCTTGACCTTTGTCCTGCCACTGGACTTTGGATGACTCAGCCCCACTCATATCCAATTCATTCACAAATCAAGACGTTTATTAACACTTACATACACATGCAATGCTCAATTGAATTATATACTTATATGTGTACACACTGTATGGATTATATTGAATATATGTTCACACATTTTATCCATATTATATATGTGTGTATACATATATATACATATGGTATATGTATATACATACACATATATTTACTACTTTTATTTTTATTTTATTAATTTATTAATTAATTAATGTATTTCTTTTTTACTTTCATTTATTTACTTATTACTTTTTTTTTTACACGGTACCTTCTCTAATCCCAAGGAACTTCCAGGGCCTCACTCTGAGGCCATGCCACAAGCCACATTCTCAGGTCCTAGAGAGGAAACAAGGCCCAGCCTCACCCCTAGAATAGCCTGACTAAGCCCTCTAGTAGAATGAACCAAAGCCTTTTGCCCTCACCCAGAACCCCTTACTCAGAGCCTCACCCTAGAAAAGAGCCAGGTGGTCACAGAAATAGGGCTGGGCCTTTGACCCTTCTCCCACTGGCCCCACCCAACCACCCAATCACTCTCCCAAGCCAAACCTTTAACTCCAGTCCTATTCTTTTTCCTCCTTTGCACTGAGCTCCATTCCAGCCACCTGTCGTTTCCTTCCTTTGGACCTTTGGCCAGGTCTTGTACCTGGGGCACCTTCCTCTTCCTCCCTTTCAAACCTGCCTTCCTCCTTCGGGGATATGATCTGATTAGTATAAATCATTTTCCTTCCCACCCTTCCAAATACTCCTGGGTTGGTCACCGACACGTTGGAAGCCTGGCTATGGGCATCCTGCTCATTCCCATTCCCCAGCACCTTTGTGCTTGAGAGAGCTTGGCTCCTCCAGTATTTCTGCACTTCAGGAAACACGAGAGGCATGGAATAGTAAAATGAGGAAATAAACCACTCTACTTACTTGATGAAGTACACAGCTCCTTCCTGGGTGAAGCCCATCTCCCAGCCTTTGGGCAAATCTGAAAAGATCCATCCACACAGTCAGAATCATATGTCATCATCATCATCATCATCACCATCATCACTGAACACTAACACTTGAAGGTTTACAAACCACCTTGTTGCAAAGCACTTTATAAATATTATCTCATTTAATCCTCTCAACAACTCTAGGAGATAGGTGCTATTATTACCCCCATTTTATAGTTGAGGAAACCAAGGCAGAGGTTAACAACAATAATAATAATAACTAACATTTATATAGAGCTTAGTATGTGCCAGGCATACTATGTGCTAAGGTACTTTACAATTATTATCTCATTTGATCCTCACAGCAACCCTTGGAAGTAAGTGCTGTTACTATCTCTATTTTACAGATAAGGAAACTGAGGCAAACAAGATAAAGTGACTTGCCCAGGGTCACAAAGCTAGTATCTGAGGTTAGATTTGAATTCAGGTGTTCCTGACTCCAAGCCTGGTGCTCTATCCACTGAGCCACCTAGCTGCCCCCAATAGAAAGTAAGTCCCTTAAAGGCAAGGACTGTTTTGTTTGTTTTGTTTTTTTGTCTTTGTATCCCCACCCCCTATCATAGCCCCTGGCACATAATAGACACTTAATAAATGTTTGCTGATTGACTAATTGAATCATGGATTATTCATGGATGCAGATCAAAATCCCTTCCTGGTTCTTCAAAGGCACATAGCATCAAAGGACCATAGATTTGGAGCTGGAAGGGAGCTAAGAGGCCAACTAGCCCAACTTCCTTAATTTATGGAAGCCAAGCCGGTGGAGGTTACACAAGCATTGAGAGGCAGAGGTGGGTTTTGAGCCCAGGTCCTCACCCCCCAAACCATTACCTTTTCTTTGTTGTGCTAAAAGAATCCATCTCTTAGTGGAGAACCCTCTGCCATTGGCCTCTCTAAGCTCAGCTAGGCTAAGTTCCCCAAACAAAGACACCGTCTGTTGGTGTCTTTTGGACCCATGAGTCTGTTGCACCCGTGCTCAAAGCCTTTACAATTTAGTGAGAGTTACCAGAGCTTATGCTCTGCTAGCCTTTAAAAACCTAGAGTCACCTCCATGCTAGAATGAAGCAACAGAGCCTAAGAAGCCTCATGGAAGCTTTGCACATAGTAGATGCTTTATAAATATTTGGTGTGGGGGCAGCTAGGTGGCGCAGCAGATAAAGTACTGGCCTTGGAGTCAGGAGGATCCGAGTTCAAATCTGGCCTCAGACACATACTAGCTACCTGTGTGACTCTGGGCAAGTCACTTAAACCCCACTGCCTCCAAAATTTTAAAAAAAAAAAAAGGGCATAAGGAACAAAAGCTCTGGGGCAGCTAGGTGATGCAGCGGATAGAGCACCAGCCCTGAAGTCAAGAGGACTTGAGTTCAAATCAAGCCTCAGATCAAACACTTGACACTTACTAGCTGTGTGACCCTGGGCAAGTCACTTAACCCCAATTGCCAATCAATCAATAAATAAATATTTGGTGAATTGATTTACCCACTGACACATCCTCCCAGTCAGGCATGTCCTTTCCCCTGCGCTCCAATGAACATTTTATTCCAGAGGACTTGGGTTGGCATCCTGCCCTAATTAGAGGGAATCCCATGAGTCAGAAACACAGTTCTCTGTCCCTGGGACTTGTCAAAGTGATTTCCTTCTCCTTCCATTTTCCATTCCTAGGTCAGACCTCTGCCCTCCCCTCCACAGAACCCACTCTGCCTCAGCATCACCAACCATTCAACAGCTGACATTCAATACAGGGATCCTTTTGTTCTTCTTCTATGTCCTGAGATATCATTGAGGCAGCTCCTTTCCCCACTTCCTGCATGAAGAAATTCCCCTTCTAACCTTGAGGAAGTAGAGGGAATTCAGTTATTGACTCCCTGGAGCCACAAAGAGGGATTGACTAAGCTGGTCTTGTTAATTTTTTTTTTTTTTTTTTTTTTTGGTGAGGCAATGGGGTTAAGTGACCTGCCCAGGGTCACACAGCTAGTAAGTGCCAAGTGTCTGAGGCGAGACTTGAACTCAGGTCCTCCTGACTTCAAGGCTGGAGCTCTATCCACTGCGCCACCTAGCTGCCCCCAGTCTTGTTAATTTTAAAACCCAGTCTAGGATGAAGAATGGGAAAGGCCTCTGACCCTTAAACAGCCAAACCAGTGCATATATGCTCATGATGCAAAGAAATCAGGCAAATGAGAATACACTTCAGATATGGATTGGTTGGGCAGGCAGGCAGCAGGCATTAAGTACCTACTATGTGCTAGGCACTGTGCTAAGCACTGAAGATACAAAGAAAGGCAAAAGACAGTCCCTGCCCTCAAGGAGCTCACAGAGACAACATGGCAGACCATTACATGTACAGGTATTCTCATAATGAACTCTATTTTGAACAAGGTGAGTTTGAAAAGTCCCGATGATCGCCTCCCAACTAATTCTTCAATTCCTATGGGTCTCCCATACCTGGTTTTTTAATCTTATAAGTAACCAAGATTTATGGCATCAAACATTTGTATTCTAGTCGGAAATAAAAGGAAAGAGACGGAAATAGATAATCTTAATGCATCAGCAAAATTGCTTAGCTTCATAGAGATTTTTCTAAAATTTCAAAAAACCTTTTCAATTTCACCTGCTTTCCTTGTTGTCCCAAGGAAGAGTTATGAGCAGAGTTCTAGAAGGGTTCATTCCTTGGCTTCACATCCCTTAAGCTTTCTCTAATAGGTTTGTACATGTTGAATTTGCATTTGTTTGTATGTTTATCTCACACCTTTTTTATCTTTATGCAAGGAGAAGTCACAGCTTATCAGATATGCTGATTACACAAACCCAAACTGGGGAGGGACAGCCAACCATGTTTGATGAAAGAATAATAATCCAAAAAAAAGAATAATGATCTAAAACAATAGGCCAAACCTAATACAATGAAATTTAGTTGGGATAAATATAAAGTCCTACCCTAAGATTTAAAAAGTCAACTTCAGAAATACAAGCTAGAGAGATAGGGCTAGACACCAGTTTTTCAAATTACTCTCCATTTGGGGATTTCAAGAGAGCACCAGTTCAGTAAGAGTAAACAGGGAAGCAAGGGCAGCCAAAAAAGTTAATGCAATAATAAAGTTTGCTGAGAAGCATAGTGTCTGCTTCTATTACACTTTGCATTATATTCAGTCCTGGGCATTACAAGGAAGGACATGGACAAGCTAGAAAGCATTCAGGATGAGGAAAGGACTGAAGAAAAATCAATGCATCAAACTGAGGGAATGCCCATCAATTGGGGAATGGCTGAACAAGTTGTGGTATATGAATGTAATGGAATACTATTGTGCTATAAGAAATGATGAGCAAATGGACTTCAGAAAAATCTGGAAAGACTTGTATGGACTGATGCTAAGTGAAGTTAGCAGAACCAGGAGAATGTTGTACACAGTAGCAGCCATGTTGTGCAATGACACATTCAGAGAAAGAACTATGGAGTCTGAATGTAGATGGAAGCATACTATTTGCTCTTTTTTTTTCTTCTGTTTTGTTTTGTTTCTTCTTTCTTGTGGTTCTTATTGGTTCTAATTCTTCTTTACAACATGACTAATATGAAAATATGTTTAATAGGAATGTATATGTAGAGCCTAAATCAGATTGCACCCTGTCTTGGGGAGGGAGAGGGAGAAAATTTGAAAGTCAAAGCTTATGGAAGTGGTTGTTGAAAACTAAAACTAAAAATAAATTAATTAAAATTTAAAAAACAAAAAAAAAGGAAAATTAATCCATCAGTTATTAAATACTACAGTGTTCCGGGCATTGTATGATCATGTGAGAGCTGGTAGAAGGAAATGGGGATTGTTTAGCCTGGAAAAGAGACTTTTATTGTTCAATCTTATCCAACTCTTCATGACCCCATTCAGGGTTTTCTTGGCAAAGATACTAGAGTGGTTGTCATTTCCTTCCCCAGTTCATTTTACAGATGAGGAAACTGAGGAAAACAGTGGAAAACAGTGTTAAGTGACTTGTCCAGGGTCACATAGCTAGTAAGTGTCAGAGACAGGATTTGAACCCAGGTCTTTCCCGACTCCAAAGTCCTCCACTCTTTTCACTACAGCCTATTGAAATCTCTGTGACTGAAGCATATTTCTGTGTCCCAGGATGGATGACATGAAGATCCTTCAGGGATAAAAGAAGTCAGAGGTGAAGTTAAGGAGTTTCTGCAGTCTTCTTATAGGCTGCTGTCATTACTGAAGCTAAGAGACAAATGGTAAAGACGTAGGGACAGACTTGTACCTTACCCGGGTTGGAGACTTGTCCGCTCTGGATAGGAGATTCTGTGCCTGGATGCACCCAGCTAGTTGATTCTTTCTCATCGCTGCAAGAACCCCAAAAGAAACATCAGACTCCAAAGATGGCAGCCTTCCCATACACCAATGCTTCCTTGCACTCTGCTCCTTTCATGACCCTCAGGTCATGTCAACATTGATCGTTCATGGAAATACAAACTCCTCTATCTGGCATTTAAAACCCTTCACAACCTGAGTCTGACCTATCTGGCATACTTATTCTACATATACCACTCCCCTGCCTGCATTCCACCCTCCATCCAGACTGGCCTTCTGTGCCTCCTGGGACAGTCCATCTCCCATCTCCATGCCCAGAATCCCTCTTTCCTCCCCTCTATGCCTTAGAATCCTTAGTATCTTTCAAAGGTCCAGCTCAGGCACCACTTTATCCATGAGGCCTGTACGTGAGACCCTCCTGCCTGCTAGCACCCCTCTCCATGCTTTGTATTTGTGACACATATATGTATATGGATAGATTGCTTATATTTCATATATATATGCACACATATATATGGGGAGACATGCAAAACAAATGAGTATACAGAAGATATAAATATAGACACCTATGTCTATATTTAGACATATCTACATATACAAACATAGATTTCTAGCATATACACATATGTATACATTTCTCCCCATATATATGTGTGGGGGTAACCTATGACTATATCTTGCATATATTCATGTGTGCACATGTCTCCCTAGATAGAATGTAAACTCCTTGAGGGCAGAGGCTGGGTTTTTTTTTTTTTAATCCCCAGTATCTGGCATATAAGTGCTTAAATTCAAGTGTCATCAGGCATTTCCTATCTCCCCAGATGCTAGTGCTCCCCACCCCACTCCCTGAAATTAACCTGTGTAAGTGTGTAAGTAAAGTAGTGTATATGATATATTGTATAATACATACATTATATATACTATATTATATATGTGTGCATGTATATTTATATGGAGGCAGCTAGGTGGTGCAGTGGATAGAGCACCGGCCCTGGAGTCAGGAGGACCTGAGTTCAAATGTGGCCTCAGACACTGACACTTACTAGCTGTGTGACCCTGGGCAAGTCACTTAACCCCATTGCCTAGCAAAAAACAAAAAACACAAACAAACATATATATTTATATGTTTAGAGTAGATAGAATGGATATCTATTAGTGTTCTACTGGTGGAGAGAGCTGGAACTGGATCATATGTATAATATCATAAAATATATACAAGTATGTGTGTATATATAAAATAATGTGTACAATGTGTATATAATATGATACAATATATATATAACATTGTATATGTATGTATACATTATATACACAGAGTATATGTTTCTATTGAGAGAGTTAAGCACACAGTAGATAGAGCTCTGGGCCTAGATTGTATATATAATATATAGTATATATTTATATTTAATATATAATATATGCAGTATTGTATATATGTATATATATTATAAATAATATAGTATACATTTTTATGTGCATATATGTATATTGAGACAGATCATGCAGTGGATAAAGCTCTGGGCCTGGATTGTATATGTAAAATATATAGAATATACTTATATTTAATCTATATATGCACAGGATTGTATATGTATGTATGTATGTATATGTTACCTTCTAGGTCCTTGGGTATGACCTTTTGACTGAGTCCAAGTTTTACAGAACAAATCCTTTTATTAAGGGGATTAGCTCTGTGAAGTTTGGATTCAGTCAAAGGCCTGTACCAAAGGACCCACAGGGCCACATGTGGCCTCAAGACCACAGGTTCCTCACCCTTGAATACACACAAAGTATATACTTATACGTGTAGATATGTATATTGAGGCAGTTAGGTCATGCAGCAGGTAGAGCTATGGGCCTATATTGTATATATAAAATATATAGTATATACTTAATATATGTAATATATTAATATATATTACACATTAATATATGTTATATGTACAGTATTATATGTGTGTATACATTATATAAACACACACAAATCATATGCTTATATATGTAGATATATATATTGAGACAGGTCACGCAGTAGATAGAGCTCTGAGCATGGATTGTATATGTAATAAATATAGTATATACCTATATTTAATACATATGTATATATAGTATCCCCCTCCTAGATCACTGCCTTGTCATGGTAGAGGGGCTTGCGTAGCTCAATGGAACTATGAACTACACCATGCAGGTGTAGACCCAACACGACAGGTCATAGCAGAGAGTTCTAACAAAACGTTTTCTGCTGGAGAAGGAAATAGCAAACCACTCTAGTATCTTTGCCAAAAAAACCCCATGGACAGTTGGCCTAGTGTACTATGGTCTACGAGGTCATGATGATTCAGACATGACTCAACAACTACAAAATATATAGTATTGTATATAGTGTGTGTATATAATATATATAAATATAGTGTTTATTTGTGTGTGCATATGTTTATACCAAGGCAGTTAGATCACACAGTAGACAGAGCTCTGGGCCAGGAGTTAGGAAGACCTGAATTCAAATCTGACCTCAGAAACTTGCTAGCTATGTGCCCCTGAACAAATAATTTAAACCTGTATGCCTCAATTTCCTATGATGATCAAATGAGGTAATTTTTGTAAAGTGCTTTGCAAACCTTAAAGTGCTACATAAATGCTAACTATTATTATGTTTTTCTCCCCATATAGAATGTTAATTACTGGGAAGGGAAGAATTATTGTTTCATTTTTAACACTGTATCCTTAGTACCTAGTAAAGGGCCTGGCATATATCAATCAAGTGCTTAAAAATTACTAATTGGTTAATTGATTGACTAATGGAACCAACCTCAGTCTTTTGAATGGATTAAGAGGTAGCCAGCTATCTTTATTATTTTTCTCAGAGACTGTGACATCAGGATTGGGAAGCAATTCCCTCTGACTTGCTAAAACTACCTCCTTAACAATGATTTAGATTTCAACCACTTCAAAAATCTCAATCCATTTTGGTGAGGATCCAATCCAGGTGAATGGAAAATACCCAGATCTTTGGGTTTAAGGAAGGGCTGTTGAGAGGTAATCTAGTCCACCTTCCTGCCTCAAAACCAACTTTGACCCTGCCCTCCCCTTCCAAGGGAAATTCATCTACGTTTAAATACCTTCTACAAAAGGAAATATCCCAGCAGATTTGAAGTTGTTTTTAGAAGAGAGCATAGCAAGTGGCCTTCCCTCAGTTTTCTGGGCTATTGAAAAGCTGACTGATTTGTCTCCCTGCCTCCAGCCTCTCTACACTCCAAACCATCCTCCACTTACCTGTCAAATTGCCCTCCCCAATTCAGTCACTTATTACCTCCAGGATGAAATATAAAATAATCCTTCTTCTCCTTCTCCTCCTCCTCCTCCTCCTTTTTCACAGTTGGGGTTAAGTGACTTGCCCAGGGTCTCACAGCTAGTATCTGAGGCAGGATTTGAATTTAGGTCCCCCTGATCCCTTCCTGATTCCTAAAGGGCCAGTGTTCTATCCACTACATCACCTTAAAGCCCTTCATAATCTTTTCAGTCTTCTTACCACTTATTTCCCTTCATATACTTTCCAATCCAGTGACTCTGGCCTCTTTGCAGTTCCTTATACAAGATTCTACCTCACCATCTCTTAGCATTTTCACTGACTTTCTCCCATACCTGGAAACTTTCTCCTCATCTCTGCCTCCAAGGCTCCCTGGCTACCTTCAGGTCTCAGCTTAAGTCTCACTTTCTGAAAGCAGCCTCTCAATCTTAGTGCCTTCCAGCAGTGAGCTGGAACCCCCTGTCCCAGTAGCTTCCTAGAACTGATGGTGAAATTTTCAGTGTGAGCTTTAGCACCCTGGAAATTGGCAAACTACAAACCACAGCTTGATTTATTATTTTTTCTTGATTGTCTAGACTTAAGAAAGTGATGGAGAAAATATTAATAATGCAGATTAAAAGTTAAAGTGTGCTGTGGGTATAGCCACGGTCACAAAGAGCCAATTGTCAAACATGTCCCAGCACACTTCTAGTGTTTTCCTTTGAGACTATTCCCAATTTATCTTGTATATCAGAAATGTCAAACACACTACTGCAACACTCCTGAGTGCTTCCAACCAGATGAAAATGTAATTGGGAAATATTTAACAAAACAAACAAAAATACAATAGAACATTGATAATATTAATACATGGTTTTCTAAGTCAATATGTAGCCTGCAGAGATGTATGTATACACACACACACACACACACACATATTATATATGTGTGTGTGTATGTATATATGTATGCATATGTATATACACACATATATTATATGTGTGTGTATGTATATGTGTGTATAGAGATATATATATATCTCTATACACACCTATCTATCCACACATATACACATATATGTGTATATATATGTGTCTCTGTGGATAAAGCACTGGACCTGGAATCAGGAATACTTGAGTTCAAACCTGGCTTCGGATACTCACTAGCTATGTGACTCTGGGCAAGTCACTTAACCTCTATTTGCCTTAATCCCCTGGAGAAGGAAATGGCAAACCACTCCAGTGGCTTTGCCAAGAAAAACCCATATGAGGTTACAAAGAGTCAGACATGACTGAAACAACTGAACAACAAAGATATATGGTTTAGTGCTCCTGTTTCAATTTGAGTTTGACGTCATGGCTATATAAATCTTGTTTGTATATAGTTGTTAGCATGTCGGCTCCCCCATCAGTTGTGAGCTTCTTGAGAACATGGCTTGTTTTTTGCCCTTCTCTGTATCGCCAGGCTCAGCACAATGCTTGGTACATACTATAGTAGGTCCTTAATAAATGCCTGTTGATTGATTGGTTGATCTCTAAAGTTTTCGTGAGTGAGAGGAGAGCAGCCCTTCAGACTCCTAAGAGGAGGAAGTGCCAGTCACAGTGCCGGTGCCTTCCAGAACCCTAGGACTGCCCCATGTCCACTCTAAGGCAGAGCATATGAGGAGTCTCCAGAGGAGGAGGGTTGAGCTAGGTGGGGAACGTGCTGATCAGATGCTCCTATTGCCTGAGAACATCCCGGAGTCAATGGGAAGACAATCCTGACCAGTTCCTGAGAAGAATGCTAGGTTCAAGATGTCACTGAAGTTCTAGATCCCTGGTCTTGGCTCTGGTCCCAGGAAGAAGAGAGGGAGAGCAGAAGTCTGAAAAAGTTGGGCAAGGGCTCTGAGCTGGGGGATTTCAAATAGGCACCCATACTGAGGGGTGGGGGTGGAGGAGAGAAGGTATGATGGGGAAAAGATGATTAACTGTAAATGTGTTGATAATAACTCACATTTATAGAGTGCTTTCCAGATTTCTTGCCAAAGAAGCTTTTAGCAAGTGACCTCAGAAGCTAGCCTAAGGCCAAGGACTTCAAAATAGTTCATTTCAAAGATGACATAATAATAGCATTAATAGAGATGAGGTTGATAATAGCAGCAATACAGGAGCTAAAGTTCAAGGCTCAGCCCAGGAGGGCACCGCCCTAACCTTCCCTGCCTTATCTCTTCTCACTCAAGCTCCAGCCCAGGGGTGGGGAACCTGCAGCCTCCAGGCCACATGTGGTCCTCTAGGTCCTCAAGCGTGGCCCTTTGACTGAATCCAAACTGTAAGTCCAGCCTAACTAGACTACTCCCTGCTCCTGAGGACACCAGGTGCTGATTGCCTTCATCCATGCCTCGGATGACCCTATTCCCTATGCCTGGAATGTCATTCCTGCTTCTTCACTGTATTTCTATCCACCTTCTCAAATGCCAGCTCTTCCACAAAGTCTTCCACAATCCCCCTAGTCTTTAATTTCCTTTCCCCTTTGAATGTACACACATGATTTGGGTTGGTTTTTTTTTTTCAGTTTTGTTGATTCACTTCATATATACATTAGTTACCCGTGCTTGTATCTTAGCCCCCTATGAGACTTGGTCTCAAGGAAGAAAAATGAGCCTTCCCCTACCTTTATAGATGGTTCTTTCTATTCTAATATGTTATGGAAATGCTTATTTTATTTCTTAAATTCAGAATAAAATAAATACTTAAAAAAAAAGAAGTAGGGGATTAGAGGTATGGAATATTGAACATAGTAAAAAAAAATGGGTGCTGTACTATTTTTGCTGAAATCATTTCCCCCCCCATTTCTTTTCACTCGTCTGTTCATGAGGTCAGAGATTATGTCTTCTGAACATGGAACTTCCCTAGGACTCAGATCAGTACTGTGCACAGGGAGCTACTTAATGTTTGCTAAAGGAATGAATGAATGAAAGAATGAATGAATGAAATGTGGAAACTGATGAATACAGTCAAATCATTCATTAGCACAGAAATTGTTGAGGCCATTCATTACTGGGGAAGAGCAACAGCCTAGGAATTAGAAAACCAGGACTCTAGTTCAGACTACAAGTAGTGATTTGACCTTGGTTAAGTAATTTCATCTCCAGAGAGAAGGTACCATAGAAGTAGGGTGATGCAGGAGACAGAACACCAGACCAAAAGTCAGGAAGACATGGGTTCAAATCCACTGCTCAGACCTCTTATAAGTTTTGGGACCCCAAGCTAGCCAATTAACCTCTCTGAGTCTCAGTTTCCTCATCACTAAAATGGGAATAATAAAGAACCTACTTTTCATAGGCTTCTGTGAAGCTCAAATGAGATTATATAAATATGTATATTTATAAATATACACATGAATGTTTTTATATCTTATATATTTATAAATGTATATGTGTAAATATATGTATGTATAGATATAGAGATATGTTTGTATATGTGTATGTGTGTAGACAGAATATATATTCTAGGCAAATATATATTTGTACATAGGTATATGTATGTGTGTATATACACATATATGCATGTGTATACACAAAGATATATATGTATATACATGAACAAAGATTATATATATACACACACAAAGATATATGTGTATATATATATATATATACAAAGATGCACGCGTGTGCACACACACACACACATACACACACACACATATATATCTTTGTAATGTCAGGTATATCTCCCTGAGCCATACTCTCCACCTTCACAATGAGATAATTAGACTAGGATCCTTAAAATCACTTCCAGCCTTTTAACATTTTCAGGTTCACACACAATTAATGGATGTCTTGTGGAACCAAGTACCTGAGATGTTCCCAGATTCATATGAGTTAAGAAAGTAAAATCATGTGTGGCCAATAATAGCGATGTCTCTGCTTATTCTTTTAAAAACTCCACACATGATGGGAGTATCTTACCCTTCTCCCAATACTTCATGGACAGCAAAGGGGTAGGGATGTGTTGATTAGCCCCATTTTACAGAAGAAAAAAAAAGGAGCTTGTCCCTAGGAGGCTAAGGAGGGTCTCCTGTTATTCTTTTCCTTGTAGTCTAAGCGTCCTGCTTTCCTTAAATGTTTTAGAAAAGTCTAAAGAAGCCCAGCAGTGACCTCTGCTCCTGATAGGAGACAGAATTGGAAGGAAGGTGTGTTAGACTGGACCCTGGAGGACCAGGGGCTTTAGACCAAGCCTCTCCTCCTCCTCTAAGCCTTCAATTCTTCTGCTGTGATGGGGAAAGGGCCCTCCTTGTCATGCCTTTCTAAAGACCTTTTAGGTGGGTGAATGAACGAGTCTTTATAGGACTTTGAACCGTTGGGAAAAAGGCGGGAGAGACATTCAAACAAATAGCGTGATAAACTTAGTCATACTTTATCACCACCTTCCCCTGTCTCTGGGTCACTTTCCTATTCCTACCCTTATCCCCCAACCCAGCCAACTAAAAGATATTGGGGGATGAAGATGGAGAGGATTTTTAAGCGGAAAAGAAAAATTAAGAAACCAATAAACATACTTGATGAAGAAGATCCTACCACCCCGGTCAACTCCGTAGGTCCAGCAGCCAGGCAGATCCAGCCAATCAATCTCATCAGCCATCTCAATAGTCAATAATCCTTTCCCACCTCCTCAGGCAATAAGCTCACTTAGGCCTTCTCTCCTCCTGGGATTCTTCTCCAGGAGCCTCCACTCTCCACCTCCTCCCAGGAAGATGAGGTAGTGAAGTCAGACCAGCCTGGCGCTAAGTTCCAGTCCACCTCCTGGATCCCCAGGGCAGCCAGAGGGGTGCGGGTGAGCCTGGCCTCTCACCCAAGGAGTAGTGGCTGAAACAAACTGGGAGTCAACAGCGGGTAGAGTCCTTGACACAACAGAGGCCAGCTCAGCATCCAGGTTTGCAAGTCTCAGAAGCCACACCAGACACCACCACCTGCCTTCTCCTGCAGTCTGAGTCCATTACTTTCCTTCAGACTGCCTCCTTAACTTTAATTACTGACAATTAGCTTGGGGTGAGTAATTATGACGTTTCCCTCTGCCTATACAGTTACCCAGAGCAGATATACCTCGGCACCGGGCTCTCTGGCTTTCTCGGGTCTGGCTCACAAGATGAAGGGCAGAAGTTGTCGGAGGATTCTAAACAGAAAGGAACCGTCTGTCATGTATGGGAAATGGGTGTTGCCTTCTATGCTCAAAGCTATCCAGTCAGCCAGCCCTTAAATTTACAGGTACCTGGGAGAAAGGAAGGCGGAGTCAAGCCAACACCTAGGAGCAATAGTCACAAGCAGACTGAACACCCCAGAAGCCTGGCTGATCTCCCGTGTTGGGGCGCAGGGGGAACCAGTTTGACTGAAAGAGACTTGAATCACAGGGTGTGAAAAACATGTCCGGTCAGTTACGGAAGTAGGGAATGTGGTCAAAGTCTGCTTCAGCTTGGTGGGAGGTCAGGTGAAGATCAAAGGTTAGGGGAGGAGAAAGGGGTCCCTCACATCCATGCCCTCCCCACAAGAGATCCTTTACCAAGATGCCAGTCGAACCAGCCAAGTTAATCCTCAACTTTTCATTCAATCATTCTCCTCCAGGAAGCCTGCCATGACTAAGCAGAATTGAGACACTAATAACTCATGACTTAGCCTGATATCCCACCTCAAAGTTTGCAAAGCACATTCCTCACAAAAACCCTGTGAGGCAGGAAGTACGAGCATTATGATTGCATTATACAAATGAGGAAACTGAGGCTCAGATGGGTTAAGTGATTCGCCTTTGCTGTGTGAAGAGCTAGCAAGGGGTGGTGCTGGGATTTGCCTGCCTCCAAGTCCAGTGTCCTTTCCATTAAAATACACTGTTTCCCCTTCTGAGACTTTACTTACATCAATCACCACTAATAGTCCTCTTCCCTCCAATAATTTGCCCAAGGATGGGAAATAAAGGAGGAAGAGTGAGAGCTAGAGAATCTAGTTTATGAGTGTTATGATATGAATGTTTAAACATCATTTCTCCTTTTAGCATCTCTCTCAGAAAAGAGGGACTATTTCAGCTGTCTCCTAGTACACTGGGCACACTGGTCAATTATAGAATGGATGTTGATCTATGAGAACATGAGGTATCATACAGAAAATGTGTGATCAAAAAAGGAGTCGAGTGGTCAGATGTCAAGAGGAAGGGATAACGGAGGGATAGCCCTAGTTCTGCCCTAGATCCTGTGACACATAGACTTTTAGCACCTAGGGTAGATCCTCTGTGGCTAACTATGGGAGAACATGAGCAAGAATTACATCAGAGGAGAAGGCTTGGATAGGATGTAATCTATACCAATAGAGGGAATATTATATCAATGAGATAACAGATCCTCAAAAATATGTTTTGAAATATGATGATGCTCATGGAAGCCAGATAGAGCTTTGCTGTGTCTGGGTCTGTGTCAAAGCTAGGGTACTACCATCTGCTTGGAGCTGTACCTGAAAGTGAAGAGCATTCACTTCTTGCTTCCATTTCTTGTACCTAAAAGTAGGATAAACAGGTTTATAGATGATGGGAGAAGCAGCCGCTGGTCATGGACTTGATTTTAACTTAACAATAAGTCAATGAGCTGTGGATTGTTAGAGCTAGGAGTCCAACGTGAGGTGACACACTGACATTCGACTTGGATCAACATGCTTTCGATCTTACACTTCAAAAATGGAAAACAAAAAATTGGCAACTCTAATATTTTTATGACTTAAAGCACTTTAGAGAACTAATCTCAATTCTGACTGTAATCTATCTTCTGAATTCCATTTTGGGGTGAGACTTTACAAGTTGATGCTGAATATAACCCAGAGGAAATTTGGGGAAGCCTAGGGAATAGGAATGGTGAGTGTTTTCAGTGCTGTCACTTAGAGAAGAACCTAACTTCTGCCTGCCTCTTTCAGTTTTCCCCACAGCAATGAGAGAGTTAAACTTTCCACTGTCCCACAGTGAAGAAGAGGATATGGACCTAATTGATCTCCTTGCC